CTGTTCCAACCAATTTTAAATAACTTTCGATCTTTCGAATTGGTGAGCGCAGAAATTTTTAAATTTCTTAACTTAAATCTGTTCCAACCTATTTAAAATAACTTGCGGGGTTGTTAAAAATATTGAAAAAAGCAGATATATCACAGATAAAAAAGCTTATATTAATGCTGTTTCATAACAAAAACTTGTAAAAGTATATTATGTTTCCAAACTTGGAATCTATTTCTAGTTATACAAATTAGAAAATGTGGTTCGTTGGTTCATAAGATAATAGTTAAAAATTTTACGAGAATTTGCTTTCCTTGTAATCAGCTAAATCTTTGCATTCTTTTAAACTAAAAAAGTTAGTAATAATTTCAAAGGGGACTAAAATATTATATCAATTAACATATTAAAATGGCTAAGACTTCAGCAATGACATAATATCTATTGGTTTTTTATATAAGCGCACCATGCCTCCTGAAGGCTTTGTGTATTAACTTTATGTAAAAAAAACAACATTGTACATAGCTACCTTATGCCCTAATAAATGGTATCCATTAGCGGGTCTTCCACATGGTTGGCAGAGAGTTATAGGGGTCGTTTGACACTCGCCTCCAACTAAATTCTTCAGTTAAATCGCATATTTGTCCGCGTCCGATACGCCATGTGTAAGTAACACACGGACGTATTAGGTACATTGAAGAACGAAATAAAGATATTGAAATATTGTGATATTAGAGCGTTATAACGAAATTAAGTGATTAAGCAATTTAACGTTACCATTACAGCATATTAAAGTCCATTTTTTTACAGAATTAGGGTGACAAACGAGCACACAGTCCACCTAATGGTAAGTGGATGTTGCGCCCCATATATATCATCATTTATCCAATATTAAGAATTAAAATGATAGTAAAAAAAGTGTCTCCGGATCTCTACATTTATTGCTGAATATAGGCCTCCCGATTGCCTCACGGGGGGGTATATTTGCCATAGTTGCCATGCTTGGCAAGCGGGTTTGCAACCGTAGTTTTTATTTTTAGTAGTTATTAGGAAGAAGCTGCTGCCCATCCCCCGATTTGTTTCCCTCTGTCGTCTCTTACGACACCCACGGGATGATGTGGGGTCGTGGATATTCTTACACAGTCACTACAAGGTAAGTTAAGGAATTTAGTTTAGTATTATTTGCAATGACACGTTGCTTTTAAGGAGGTTAACTGATTAGACATATGAAAAGTTGTCAGAAAAACAACAAATTATAATTTGGGTTCGTTTCCGAAAACATGCTATAAATAAAAGTATTTAAAATTTTCCTATTGAAATATCTACAATATTTATAATGATGGACCGTAATTTTCTTTGAAATAGAATTTTCTGTTACTCACTAGTATATATGGTATCTTTCTTGAAAGTGATGTAAGCTTTTAAAATTTATAGGAGAAAAGTTCATAAAGCCTTCAAGGGCGCTCCATTGGACTTCAGCTCAACTTAAGAAAATATTACCTACATCGTGACCTTTTCTCGCTTTGATCTTAAAAGTGTATTTGCTTTATGTGCTTAGTTATCCCGCTCCAATGGAAACACTCATAGGTGATTCTATACTTACCATCTAAAAACTGCAACAGATAAATTAAAAACGACAAGTTTCTTGTCTGCAAAAGACTCACTCCACATTCATAGATTGGGAGACTTGGAAAGTTAAACTACTTGAATTAGCGACAAAGGGATGTTTAAATATAATCATAATAAGATAATATTTATGTTTCAGAGCTACCCAGCAGTGGTAGCACTGACTTATTTTAGTTTTAACAGTAACAGTGCAAGAGAGAGACCGTCACTCTGTTATAATGCTGGTTGACTTAACATGTCTTTGTATTTTTTTATGTCTGAAATATTTAAAAATTAAAATAAATAACATCAAGACATTAAATAAATATGATAAATTTCGTATTGTGCAAATACAGTAGGAAAATAAAATAAAAATGTAACCATGAAATGTCATCCAAAAGGCATGAGTATCGGTAGTAGATTCCGCGCTCTAGCGTTTTATCCGCAGTGCAGATGATATGATTTGCGGACAGGTAGCTTACGCTCGGCAACTTACGCAGCGTATCGTAGGGTCAATATTAGTTGTGTTATTTTCAGCAAACTTACATTTGCGGCTTTTTTACCCTGTAAAATTATATAAACTACGACAATAATACTTTTCCTTGAACATTAAAAGAAGTTACGTGTGCACGATGTCTAATACGACAGCGTGACGCATTCTGATATCTCGCCCGTCTGCGCTGTATATACAAGATAATGGTAAAGGTATGACAGAAGCGAACCAACTTGATTGTAGACTTCCAGCAAATGTCTCGACTTGATTACGTTTAAATTTACAGTTTCAGCAAAATCGCATTTAATTCAATGACATATGGTGTACTGTAGGATGATAATCTCGTAAACATTTTAGCTGAATGTTTGTTGCGGCGTTTTTCTTGTTACGTGTCAAAATAGTCTACAATTTCAAACCTGTGATCAACAATTTTTTTAAATCTTGTATAATATGTTACTTGTTAGCCGGTCAGAGTACATAGCGTATAGCTGTTGTTTTATTTTTTAAGTGTGGTATATTCATTTCACTTTTTTCTTTAATTTTTTGGATATTATGTCACAATCCTTGTGCTGCATAAGCACCGCGATTATCTTTTTCTTTTTTTTTAAAAAAACAAATTGCGCAAGTTTTTTCTAAATTCATTAGAATTATAATGAATGCAAAAGGAAATAATAATAATGTCAGTACTGCAATACAGAAAATGCTATTATTAAATGTTACAGTAATTTCTCTTAAATTTTGGGTTGTATTGGTATAAGTTGTATTGGTCATGTTTGAATTCCTAAAGAAGGAAATGCATTTTAAAAACGACTGTTACGTAATGACATAAAAGCTGATGCTGTCGATTCAACTAAACGAAGCGTCCATCGGTGAGTGTATAAAGCGCTTTACACACGGTCTCTTGTTGAAATCTTATAGGTACGTCAATAATTATTATTAATCGTTTGCTGAACACGTTGGACCAAATTTAAATTTAGTGAGTTACTAAACTACTTTCCATGTCGCGCTAATGGATGATGAATATTTCGGGGACGTAATTCATTCCTAAAATACGTTCACGACTACACGATCTAGCATGCTTGATGTATTTGTCCGTGCATCAAGCATTCTAGATCATATACAAAATTTTCCACTTGCTGCACTGGAGGTTAGCCATTTTATATAGGAAAGAAAATGCGTGCTTTTGCTACTAAAACTCCGTTTTATCTGTCACGCTGGATGCACTCACAACACAACTAGTGTGTGTATACTCTCAGTGTAGCTTCCCGCGTCCTTAGGGGAAATTACAGTATGATGGGCCGTGTGAAAGGCGCTTTACACGAAGGATCAAAGGTAATTTCTCTATCGCATCGGACATCACTGTAACATTCATTGCTTCTGGTAATGCATTTAATGATATGCAACTGGGGCAGGTGCTTGCGTAACTTGTTATTGCAATTGCGCAGTCATCGTTATGAACTGCGTGAATCGTTTGATCCGAATATTTCTCGTTAAACGTATCTTTATCCATATATTATCATTTGTGATTTATTCTTTTATTTTGCATACGTTCATTTCTATTTACGTTCGATTACGAATTCTACGCTCGAATGTTATTTCATTAGTTCTAAATTCGTTACCTACTTGTGTTACGGAATAATTCGGTGTAGGTATGAAAAAAATGTCGTAAATATTTTCTATGAGAAGAGATCGTCACTGTTACAAAATATGATTTTGTTATGACTTCATATTATTAGATAAACTGTAAAGGACTTTATATTCTTTGTTACGGATACGAACTACGGTTAACACGCTTTTAAATATATTTATTTATTTAGTCTATTATATGTTAGTGCTTGACAACTATCTCACCGGATGGTAAGTTGTGATGTAACCGTTAGCGATTTGCTTTTATTTTTAAGCCAATAATTATTCAATAAGTACTTTTCAAAAACTAAATTTAAAAAAAAACTGGATGAAAACCTATAAAGGAACAGACGGTCCAGCCTACAGTTTAATACCAGTCTGTATTAACTTTTAGACAGTGTTTCACAAAGCCGCAAAGTTCTAATACTGCGTATTCTTTGAATATTTAATTATGATATTGGATTGGGCCATTCAGTTTCTCTGCAGCGTTTTTGTGTTCTACTGAAAATACTGAATTTGGCCTTGTACTGAAATGATTTGTAATTTTTCGTGTAGGTATACTTTTCGCGCACTCGAAAAACCTAGTTTCTATGAGTTATTCATTAAAATGATTAAGTCATGAGCATACTGTGAGTCATCTTGGCTGTTATAATATTTTTATTAGTCCAGATTGAGAGCTGAATTCCGGACGTAATCACCTCGAAGTGTGCCCGACACACGGTTTCCAGCGAGTAACGCTTTACGATGTTAATCATCGATATTTTTACAGATATCAGAACGTTGAACACTGGGTCAGAGTCTGTTGTTGTCAAAACAAATATACTCGACGTTGTCCGATTAGTTTTTAATAAAGCTTTGCAAGTGAACAACATAGAGGTGTAGATAAAAGCTCTGAAGGAAGAAGTCAGTGGTCAGTTTTCTGGAACTTATACCGAAATATTTTACGTCGGTATGTAACAGACATAATGAAAAAAAAATGTAAATCAGCATCCCCTGAAAGTCACAAATTTAGGTTTTTAAAAGAACAGCCCATACGACATTTATCAAGAAGAGTTTGGCAAGCTGTTAGTGTTAGTTAGTGACTGCCAACCGTGGCGCACTCACCAACACATGTCGAAATATTCCATAACAACGTCGATATACATGTGTAACGCAGTCGAGAAAAGAAGCGCGCGTGCAGTGTTCGCACCTCGGGCGGCGTGTGCCGTCTCCCGCAACGCGCACGACCTCCCGTGACGCAAACGCCACATCCTGGCCGTATAATCGGAATCGGTGTTTAAACTGTACCTACCTTTGGTCTTCGCCTGGTTCCTGGGCCCGGGGGCATTCCTGCCTCGGCCTGAGGACAGGCGTCAGCCCCCATTTCTCGACCAACTCTATACGAGCAATGGTGGCTGTTCAACGTCAATGTGTCATCGGGTCGGAGCGCTGCAGCGGGGACGCGGCGGAAAGGCCGGCTGGCCCGCGGCGCCCCCCGGCCGGCTCAAAGCGCGCGCCGCGCCCGCCACCTTACACGCGCTTCATGCCGCGTTAACGCTCTCGCCCGCTACTCGCGATAGCCGGCTTGCGTGTGCCCGCGCTGTCTCTCATAATGCGTTCAATCTGAGCGGCACAGCGGTCGCATCGCGAATACGACTGGATCGCGGAATCGACTACCTCAGAAATTCCTCACGATTTATTAGAAATTTATGCAAAGACAAGTTACTTCGGTATATAATATCAGGGGCAGCTGAGCGTAATTTTTACGTAATGCGTATACGGGCGCGTGAGATTGCGCCTCACCGGGTGCGGCGAGTCATGGTCTCTGTGAGGGCCGCGTGGCGGTCGCGATGCTCGATTGAGAGCGTGTATTGCCGTACTGCACCGGCAGCGGACTGGACTGGACTAGCGCGTGCGTCCGCCCGCCCCGCAGCCCTCGCCGCGCCCCACCCGCGTCCCGTCCCGCGTCACGTCCCGCGCCTCTTCCCGTCCTGCGTCCCGTTCCGCGCACACGTATCGACACCACCAACCACTGCAGCGGGCCGGCCCGCTCGCGCCGCCGCTACGCAACGCGCCCGCCCCGCCATCGCCACGCGCTACACGACGCACGCAACCCCCTGCGAATGTTTTGCGAGTCTCCCGCAAAACATTCGCTTTCCTTGCCCTTATTTTACTTTCCAAGTGTACGTAAATTAAATACACTTTCCCAGGTTACATTCGAATCGTTTATTTTATTTAAGTTTAAAAGTCAAATATTACGTGAACGTTACGGCAGCAAAAGGTGACATTATGAGTTATATGAATAACAAAATATTGTACAAAACTGGTGGTACTTTAAATTGACTAATTGGCAAAGTAACGATAATAGTAGGGTTGTTCTCAAAAGGCAGTGTATGATTTAATGGCAGGCATTTAATGAGTTAAACAATACTTTACATGACGCTTCCACTCATCCCTGCTCCACCAATAAAATCGTTAGTCGCTCATATATTCACATCACGGAAGTGGCCGCTGCCAGCGTGAAGGCAAGCCGGCAACTGCATCGCAGATCCAGTTTGATACATCGACACGCCGCAGTGTGAGCCAAATTCAGTCTGATCTCACACAAGAAGAAGCCTGTTTGTAAATTCAACGTGCGAGCCAAAATTGTGCCAACTGATAAAATGTTAACGACCTTTATCTAGTTCGAACCTTTGGAACATTTACGGAAAATGTATTTTATCTGTGAAACCAATTGTATTGCAATAGAGGTGTTCAACACTAAGTCCGCGCGGCCGACTAGCGCTTCAGATTAATTTCAACGGATTATTGGAAGGCTTTGATACAGTCGATGCCAAAATAACGATACGAACATAGAGGTCATCGAGGAAATTGATGTAATTTTATTTAGGTATCACTTATTCAGAATAATTTATTATGAATAATGAAAACACACATTTTTGTAAATGAATAACAGGGTGACGAATTGTGTGATACGAGAAAAGTGTGGTTTGCAAGATGATGTGACCAGGGTTAAAAAAGGAATGCTTTGGTGGTTTGGTCGTGTAGATGCGAACGGTAGTGTCGGGAAGGGACGCCATAGTCGAAGGATTATCGACCAAATTGGCAATATATTGATAATGGACCAGATTAGGAGCACCTTTAACCATGAGTAGTACGGAAGGAGAGAGAGGTGTATCAGGATCGTGCCAAATGGAAATCCGTAGTCTCTGCCTATCTCGTGCCTATGCCGTACTTCAGGCATGAGTGTTTATGGTTATGGACATTTTTAAAATTTCAACTTCCATATTTCTTTACAAAAAGGTAAAATAGCACAAATACACGTAAAACCATTGAATATTATTACAGAGTTAATTTGGTAAGATCCGCGGATAAAGCGGTATGTAATGTCTCTTTTTTAAATTCCACAAAGCTAGGTTCTCTTTTGAGTCCAACTCGATTCTAGATGATGGGGAGTACACACCGCCGACCATTACGCGGCGTGACTGCTTCATGCTGGATGTGCGGAAGATGGGTGCTCCGGAGTAAATACCGGTTCTAACGCGTCTTTTCCGATACTCCTACTAGGCTTAATCCTAAGCTTATGGCAGATAGCTTTAGTGCACCCGATCCCTAAAAATCTCTTTAACCCTCCTTGCCCTCCAAAATAATTGAATTCATTAAAACTGCAAGCTCATAACGTATCTGCTGATTAGTTACCGCATTGGCTTCAGCTGGTCCTAGTTCTAATCTTCTATTTTACCTGACTTAAAGATGAGTGAGAGCAGTACTCTAATATATATATATATATATATATATATATATATATATATATATATATATATATATATATATATATATATATATATATATATATATATATATATATACTGCTCTCACTCATCTATTTATAGGGTTAAAATAAACATATATATAGGGTTTCAATCTATCAAGAATTTACAAATTAAACTGCCGTTATATAGGGGGAAACAGATATAAAAAAACAGGAAACAAACTTTAAATAGTATAATATAGTAGTATAGTATAGTAGTATTTAACACATCATTTGTGTTTGTATGTAACCATTTTATCGGAAATTTGATGATTCCTTTGTTATAAAAGTCTGCTGCAAGATAATCGATGCACTTCGAGGTGTGTTTCGCCGCTTCTTCGGAATTGAAATTTTTGCATATTATTTAAAATCATCTGAATTCCGAAGTAAGTGAAAATCTGTTGTGGCAAGATCTGGAAAATATGGTAGATGAGTAAGTGTAGCCAGTTTATTTTCGGGCGGGCATTATGAAGAAACAATGGCGCAAGAGCAGTTCAACCATCTGCGTAGTTTGAGTGTCAACTCCTTTACCATCGTTTGTAATTCTAAACAATAACGGTCAGCAGTAAGTTTATGGTAAAAGGCTATTTTTATCACGCCGTTATTAGCTTCGATTGTACCTATCTATCTATCTATCTAACAGAATCTTTTAACGTAATTTAAAAAAAATATATAACTTGAAAATTTGCACTGGTATCAAGAACCGATGACAGTTCAATACATAATTGAGTAACTTTATCCTAATATCCTGATCAAGATCATCAGGATCAAATAAAATAATTACACGCTTTATATTAGCTTGAACTGTATGTACGCCTTAATGTGATGAAAATTTGTTATTCAAATTGAATTACCCACTTTTAGGAGTCAGATTGATTTGAAATTTTGTAGAAGAATTAAGAATCGATGATAATACAATAATTTAATGACTATAACCCCGGATTCAGAATAGCATTATCACAGTTTATGATCCATGTGTGTTGTTTAAGTTTTTTAAACTTTAATATTATTTTCTTAAAAGACGGTTTCTATAAATAACGAAAGCGATTGAAGCAATAAAGCAATGTTCTTTCGTTAATAGTGTTAGCTCCGTATACGTCGTTCATATTGTGCGTAGTTTGTTTACGTGGTAGAGATACGCAGCAGGTATATTGTTGATGTAGCGCGAGTGGGTCAACTCGACCGGGGAAGGACCACGCTCTCACGGAATACCAGCGTAAAATAGCAGCTTAATACTACTGTGTTTCGTATGGGGAGTGTAGAGATCCGGAGATCCTTTTTTTTACTGGAAATGAGATATTTCATCTTAGTCCTCAGGGGTGATAACGCATCTGCGTTTTGATTCTTAATCGAGAATAAATGTAGATGTCTATGCGCCACAGCATCCACTTACCATTAGGTGGACTGTGTGCTCTTTTGTCACCCTTATTCTATATATATATATATATATATATATATATATATATATATATATATATATATATATATATATATATATATATATATAAACGGAAATGTTTTTTTTAACTTCCCGCTAAGAAACTTGAAAGTATTCGAAATTAGGGAAGTTATTGGTTTCACACCGATTTTCGAAAATCGAGTTTTTGTCAGATCTCGATGTTTTGAGACCCCAGGAAGCTATTCGGAGTAATTTCACGCGTAAGTCCGTACGGGTGTGTGTATATATATGTGTGTGTGTGTGTAAGTATGTAAACCTTTCATAACTTTGAACGTCTTGATCGATTGAGGTACGGTTTGCGGCGTTCTAAAGAATTTGGTAATAATATGAACTGATTCGGACGAGTAGATTTTGAGAAAACTCAAAAATAAAATTATTTGAAAAACTGTTTTTTTGGAATCACTTTTAAACGGCTTTACCGATCGACTTCAAAAACTAAACAGCTCTTAACCTCAAAAAATGACAACGAATTCCATTTAGAAAATAAAAATCATTCGTTCGTGAGATATCGAGATTTCGCAACATAATTTGGTAAAATTTGGAGTGATTTGCATTTGAAATTAGCGGTAACTTCCAGGGATGGCAGGGTCAACCAATTTTTTATATATAAGCAAGAAGATGTACACATAGAAATCAAATTGAAGTGTGTATCTGTAATATTTAAAGAACTGACTTCTATTTAGTTCTGAGCTATCAACACAAATATCCACTTTTAAAATTTTTGTCTGTCTGTCTGTTCATCTGTGCGTGCTACTATTTGGAACGGCTGAATCGATTGTGATGACACTATATGAACAGACAGAGAGAAATGCTAGAGGAGACCTGGGTTGTATTTTACCCGAAAAACTCAACTTAAAAATAAACGAAGGATTGATAAAATAAGCGCTTTTTAATTATCTTAAGTCTAAATAAAACGCCACATTCTACCTATTCTATTCTATCGCTAGTTTATAATATTCTAAAAAATTATCATAAAGTAAGAATGCGGCATCATTTAAATTGTAAATAGCCTACTAGTCTGCGGTGTATTTATGTAGCTGCTAAGATAACCTAATACCCTCTTTTAACTTCAATGATATCTAGGTAACACGATCGAAACTGCGGCAGCATGCGTTTGCCAAATAC